GATTTATTTTTGTGTATGGTGTAAGTTGGTGATTGAGTTTTGCTGGAGACCACCCTGCCTGGTCTCAGGAAGCTGTAACCCCCCATGACTTAGGCTGAGTGAGAGACCTCTTGAACAGGAGCCACTAAGGAGACAAAACTTATTTCCCTGGCATCAGTGCTGCCTGTTCTGTGCCTAACCTCCTATACTTGATCAGTTAGCCAATGATGGGTAAGATTTCCCATGGAGGGAATCGCCTAAGACAGGCATGATCATTAGAAGGCCTCTTGGAAGAGACTCAGGGCTGTGGAAATGAAGGGGTAATGGACACCCACCCCTGCCTCCTTGGCTTTGTTAAAGCCTGAGTCCTTGTTCTTAGATGTGAGAAATCCAAGTCTCCTGGCTGCCTTTGTCTCCTCTGCCCAACTCAGGCCTGTGGAAGTAACAGGGGCAATGCAGCCCAGACCAGAGTTGGCAGACCCCAGGGTTAATCAGGCCTGGAGCATAGAATATGCAAGATCCTGTTAGATCTGTTTGCTGGAGGATGATTAGATTAGAATTTAAAGGCACAGACAGGAATCCAAAATTAGCCCTTTGAGCTGTTAGTGCTTTCAAATATTAAAACTCCAATCTCTTCCCAGAATTACAGTGGGGGTTCTGTCTGCACCTTTGAAAGTCACTTACTTCTTTTGATCTTTTCTGGCAGACTGTGAATCCACAAACTAAGTCTGTATTCTTAATAAAAATCTGCTTGGGAATGGAAACGGGGTGCTCCCCACTAGAGAGAGTGGACGTTCCTTCCGCATAGGACCTGGCTGTCTCTGTGTATGTTTTTCTCATATTTTGACGAGCAATCTGCAGGGTTCCATAATCACTGCAGGCCAGTGAGCAGGTGCCAGAGTTTCATATTTTTCCCATGTATCTTTCCAAATCTTCCAACAACATTTTGAAGAGGCTACTTTTACTACAATTTATACTTCTGCCCCCTTTGTCAAATACTAATTGGCCATTGAGACTTGGGTTTATTTCTGGGCTCTCTGTTCTGTTCCATTGGTCTATGTGTCTGTTCTTGTGCCAATACCAGGCTGTTGTGATTCTAGTGGCCTTGTAATAGAGTTTGATATCAGGTATTGTGACTCCTCCTACTTTGTTCTTCTTTCTGAAAATCACTGCAGCTATTTCAGAGTCATTTATGATTACATATAAACATGTGAAATTTTTTTCTATATCTGTGAAATGTCATTGGTACATTTTAGGGATTATGTTGAATCTATAAATTGCTTTTTGCTGGTACAGATATTTTGATGATGTTAATTCTTCCAATCCATGGACATGGTACCTGATTGGAAAGCACTTTGTCTGAAGTTTGATGCTAAATTATAGTTTAACTGAGTAGAGCAATTGTGTTCCCTGCTTTTTATGACTTTGAATATTACTTTCTAATCCATTCTGATCAGTCAAGTTTCTTTTGAGAAGATGACAATTTTATGGGAATTCCCCTAAAGGTAACTTATTACTTTTTTTCTTGCTGCTTTTAATATTCTCTCCTTATTGGTAACTGTTGGTATTTTAATCATGATGTGTCTTGGCATGCACCCCTTTGCATCCATCTTGTTTGGGACCCTCTGTGCTTCCTGAACTTGCATGCCTATTGCCTTCACCACATTGGGGGAGTTTTTTTTTTTTTCATTTTTTTTTTCAAGTGGATTTCCAGTTTCTTGCTCTTTCTCTTCTTCTATGGCATCCCTATGATGCAAATGTTGGGATGCTTGTGGTTGTCCCAGGGGCTGCTTCCACCATCCTCATTTTATTGGATTCTCTTTTCTTTGTGTCATTTTTGTTGGCTGCTTTTTTTTGTTTGTTTGTTTGTTTGTTTATATTCCAAATCATTGATTTGATTCTGGGTCATGCACTCTACTACTGTTTTCCTGTATTTTTTTTTAATTTACATTAGTATATCTTTCATTTCTGACTGGATTTCTTTTTTTCATGCTGTTGAGATTCTCACTACATTCCTTTAACATCCTTATAACCAGTGTTTTGACCTCTGCATCTGACACATTGCTTATCCCCATTTTGTTTAGTACTTTTTATGGAGATTTGATTTGCTCTGTCATTTCTTTGTCTCCCAATTTTGGCAGCTTCTCTGTGTTTCCAGGTGGTAGTTAGAGCTGCTTTGACTCTCTGTCTTGGTAGTGTGGCCTCATGTAGTAGGTGTTCACATGGAAATATGTCCATACCACCCAAAGCAATTTACAGATTCATGCAATCCCTGTTAAAGTGCCAATGACATATTTCACAGATATAGAAGAAACACTTCAAAAATTTATATGAAACCATAAACAACCCCAAATAGCTGCAGCAATTTTGAGAAAGAGGAACAAAGCAGGAGGGATCACAATACCTGATACCAAACTGTATTACAAGGGCACTGTAATAAAAAAAAAATCCTGGTATTGGCATAAGAACAGACACATAGACCAATGGAACAGAACAGAGAGCCCAGAAATAAACCCAAGTCTCTATGGTCAATTAGTGTTTGACAAAGGGAGAAGAAGCATAGATTGGGGTAAAAGTAGCCTCTTCAAAATGTTGTTGGGAGATCTGGAAAGATACATGCAAAATAATGAAACTTGATCACCAACTTATACCATACATGAAAATAAACTCAAGGTGCATAAAATATTTAAATATAAGTTGTGACACCATAAAAGTCCTAGAGGAAAACACAGGCAGGAAAATCTCAGACATTCCACTCAGCAATATTTTCACTGATATGTCCACTACAGCAAGGGACATAAAGAAGAGAATAAACAAATGGAACCTCATCAAATTAAAAAGCTTTTACATGGCTAAAGAAAACAGTATTAAAATGAAAAAAAAAGAACCAACTATAAGTGAAAACATATTTGCCAATGATACCTCAGAAAAAGGTTTGATTTCCAAAATTTATAAAGAACTAACACAACTCCACTCCAGGAAGACAAACAACCCAATAGAAAAAAATGGCCAAAACACTTGAACAGACACTTCCCCAGGAGAACATACAGAGGACCCATAGACATGTGAAAAGATGCTCAGCATCTCTAGCCATCAGACAGATGCAAATTGAAAGCACAATGAGATACCACCTCACACTGTGAGAATAGCCATCATAAACAAATCAACAAACAACAAGTGTTGGAGAGGATGTGGAGAAAAGGAAACCCTAGTGCACTGTTGGTGGGAATGCAGACTGGTGCAGCCACTGTGGACAACAGTATGGAATTTCCTCAGAAAACTAAAAATGGAACTGCCTTTTGACCTGGCAATTCCACTGCTGATATTATATCCTAAGAACCCTGAAACACCAATCCAAAAGAACCTATGCACCCCCAATGTTCATAGCAGCATGATTACAAGACCCAAGTACTGGAAATAACCTGAGTGCCCATCAATAAATTAATGGATCAAAAATCAAAGGTACATATACATGATGGAATACTATGTAGCAGAATAAAAAAGAAGCAGCTCCTACCCTTTGGGACAGCATGGATGGAACTGGAGAGCATTATGCTAAGTGAAATGAGCCAGGTGGTGAGGGATGGATACCATATGATCTCAGTTTTGAGTGAAATCTACTCAACAAAACAAATAAGCAAGTGAAATCTAAGGAGAAAGATTGAAATTAAGTACAAACTGATAGTAACCAGAGGGGAGGTGGGAGGAGATAATCCAGGTGGAGGAAGGGGAAGGGTTTGCAGGGACATCTATAAAGGACACATGGACAAAACCAAGGGGGTGGAAGCAGGGGAGGGAAGTTGGGGTGGCTCTGGTGGGGGTAAGTGGGGGCTAAATGCTGACAAGTGTACTTGAACAAAAATAAAATAATTAAAAAATAAATGAGTAAACCAAATAGACCTAAATCACTCAGTGCAGTGAGGAGGGCACTGGGGTGATGGTGGGTGACCTGTCCCAGGTGTGGCATATCAGGCCTGCAGCAGGTGTTCCTTGTCTAACCAGAGGCGAGGCCTCACAGAGACCATTCTGCCTCCAAGGTGGGTAATGCTGTTAATATCAGTGGTGAAAATATCTAACAGAGCTGGTGTCCTTTTTTTGGAGTTCACACATTGATTTGTCACTCAATCCAAAATCTATTTTTCAGAAAGAAACACAACAAGTGAGGCCACATCATCCATGTGCCAGTGTGAGGAGGACAGAGCTGTGCTGTTCTCTCCACTGCACTTACTGATGTGACCTCAGGCACCGCCCTGCAAGTCAGGGACCCAGGGTCTCAGGAGGGCAGCTCCCAGGGGCTGTGTTAAGGGGCCTGGTTCCTGGGCAGGGAACATCCATCTGTGGAGAGTGACTTTCCCCCTGTGCTCAGCATTCACTCTGCTGCTCTACTGACAACTGCCATGAAGGGGCCCCACCTCAGAGTCACAAAGTCCCTGGTGTGTCACATGAGGGACAACAGGATGTGTGAGTGTGGACAGCAGATCAGGTGACAGGCATCATCTACCTGAGAGCTGAGGACCTGGCACTGAGAGTCTGTGTTCCAGGCACTGAGGAAGGTGTATGTCCCTCACGTTCACCCCCACTGTATGGGTCTTTAGACTGAGGGTGTCCTTGCAGAGAGTTGCCTGTGGATGAGAAAGGAGAGGGATCAGAGCTGCCACCATTTCAAACGTGCCAGGGGTGACTGCCATGTGGCAGACAGTGGGCCTTGTAGGATGCTGGTACAGACCAGTGTCATCAAACTGTGTAGCTCAAACCCACCACTAGGTGACACTATTGCCACTGCAGTTCTCCCTCAGGACATCCCCTGAGTGGTTTTATTGGCAACCATGGACAGAGAACTGGAATACTCAGACCTGCAGAGGGCCTCTGAGTCCAGGAACAGACATCCTTGTCCACCTGATCCCCCACCAGCATCCAAGACAGGGAGGAGGAGCCTTGCTGACAGTTCAGACATGACCACAGGGGAAAGACATGCAAATGTGGCCCCTCCCCAAGTCATGAAAACCAGCTCATCTCCTGCACCTGCACAGCCCTGTGAGGAGCCCTCCCGTGTGAGTCCATCCTCAGTGTCCACACCATGGGGTCTGCACTCCTCTGGGCTTCCCTCCTCATCGCTGTCAAAGGTGCGTCCCTTTGCATCAGAATCAGCTGAGACTGATCCTCAGGGGCTGTTCTCAGTCTGTTTCTCTGTTTGCAGGTGTCCTGTGCGAAGTTCAGCTGGTGGAGTCTGGGGGAGGCTTGGTGCAGCCCGGAGGGTCTCTCAGCCTGTCCTGCAAAGCCTCTGGATTCACCTTCACTGACTACAGCATGAACTGGGTCCGCCAGGCTCCAGGGAAGGGGCTGGAGTGGGTGGCAGGAGTTAGTCACCCATCTGGAACAAAGCAGTGGTATGCTCCATCAGTTCAGGGAAGATTCACCATCTCCAGAGACAACCCTACCAACACAGTCTCTCTTAAAATGACCAACCTGAAAACTGAAGACACGGCCGTGTATTACTGTACCAGAGACACAGTGAGGGGAAGTCAGGGTGAGCCCAGGCATAAACCTCCCTGAAAAAGACAAGAGGGCTGGGCTGCAGGGGATGCTCAGGACACCAGGGGGTGCTGAGGGCACATTGAGCACAGTCATCAGCCTGGGAGCAGCTGCAGATGCAGTTTAAGGGCTGCTTTCCTGGCAGGTGTGGGGTTGACTCTCCACACAACAGTTTCCCCCTGGGAGCCTCTCTCCCTTCGTGCTTCTGCTCTGACCTCTTCAGTGTCTGAGTTACAGAGGCTTGTTGTCGTAGGAGGAAAACATTCTCACATGCCCCAAGTCAGAGAGTCACATGCATTTGCTTCCTCCCATCCTAATGAATGACCAAACCTCCTGAACTTCATCAGCTGAATCCAACCAGAGGCTTTGCAGGATCTGAGAGCACAGGAACCCCACAAAGCTCAGAGTCCAAGCCGGTCAGCAGAAGGACACATGCATGCTGGACAGCAGGCACCAGAGGTGTATGAATCCAACATCAAGGACGCAAATCTTTGGTGGGGACGTTCATTGACCTGACTCCTTGTCCATGACCCCAACAGCAGTGGACATCATGCAGAGGTAGTGAGCCCCCCACTATTCCTTGGTGTGGATGTCTAGGGTGTCTCCCACACAGAGGGACTATGAAAAAGTTTGTCACTTCATTGAGGAGTCTGTTGAGAGCAGGGCAGACTTTTCAGTAAGTCAGGAATGATTGGATCAGGTCAGGGAAGAAGTGGCTCAGGTTTTATTGTTCATCCCTGAGAAGCTGGAGGAGGGCCCTGCTCACAGGAGGGGTTTGTGTGGTTTCAACCTCCTACCTGCAGCAAACTATGGAGAACCCCCTCTTTCACTACCACGTGTTTGTGGGGTGGGGGGAGAGGTGGGTGAATCTTAACATGTCAGCATCACACCTCAAACACTGAACCCTGACTGTTTTCCATCCAACACCTAGGAAACATGAATGAGAACACAGAGCTACCGACAATTATGGGTATAAAACAAATTTAGTTCATAGAAAATGAGGATAATGGTTATATATAAGCAATAAGGGGAACAATAATAAATTATATGGAAGTCTTAGTTCAATTTCTAGGGTGGAACCTGTCCACCCTGCAGGGCCTTCAGCTTGTTCTGAAGGACTTGCTTCATGTTTCTGCTTCCAAAGATGAGAAGCTTCTACAGGATAATGCACATCCTCAGTTTGGGGAGGTCTGCTGGAGAAGCTTTGCAACTGGGTGGGATCATGATTTGATTCATTTGTTGTTGCTATGGTTGCTGTTTGTGTTGCTCACATACTCCCATGTTAAAACCTGTGGCCCATGTGATGGTGTTAGGAGGAGGGACCTTGGGACAAATAGCAGTCCTGGGGTGGAGCTCTCTTGAACAGGATGAGGACTTTTATAATAGAAGATTGAGGAAACTGCCTTGCCCCATCCACCCTCTGAGATCACAGCCAGCCGCCACTAGGGAGGTGTTCTTACCAGTCATCAAAAATGCCAGCATGTATTCCTGGATTTTTCACATCCAGGTCTGTGAGAAATAAATTTCTCTTGTTGGTACTTTGTTACAGCACCCAGAACAGATTAGTGTTGTAGTGTAACATGACCACAAGGGCTGACTCCCTGCGGTTTCACTGCTGTATTTGTTGTGAAAAGTAGAGCATGAGTGTCATTCCAGTGATGTTCAAGGGTAAGTTTTCTCAGTTGTTTTCTTCCACAGACAAAATTTCTTTGGTGAAGGTCATGGGAGGCTCCTAAACAGATGTACCAGGAAGGCATCATTAGAAGTGTGTATAATCCATAAACAGTTTTATTATTTACCATATCAGCATGGGACAAAATCCAGGTCCCAATGGAGGTAAAATCCATAAATACATGGTCCTCCTTGTCACCGTGTCACAGGGCCATGGCTGATGTGATCTTGAAGGCATCACATTAAACTCACTCAGAAGGAGCTTTGGAAAATGGGTTCAGTGTTCACTTAGGTTTTATCAGTTTAACTAATCATGTCAAGTTTTCAATCTTCCCAGAGACTGTATATAAGAATGACATGTGACATTTGGATCATAGCAGCACCTTACAGAATAGTGACTGCTGTGCTGTGTGCACATTGGGCATTTGAGGTGACAGTCAGTAAGCCCTTGGGGGAGGGGAGGGGAAGAAAGTGAGAGCAGAAAGTGTCCAGAGCAGGTAAAATTCTCTGCACATGATTCCCCCCTCTTCCCACTCTCTTTCTCCATGATGATGGATTCTCAGGACACAGATGAAAAGTGGGCAGAGATTCTGTCTTGAAAGAACAAGAGAGCAGCCCTTGCAGTGCCCACTGACCTCAGCCAAGGAGGGTGATGATGGGGATGAGCCTCTCTATGTGTGTTGACACATGGACAAGGTCACACATGGAATTTATTCAGAGGTGAATAGCATGAAACACTGTGCATGAGGAATGTTGCCTTAGATTAAATTGTGTTAAAATGACTAAAGTTAGAAATTAGCAACAACAAGAATATCTCTGCAGCATGCAGACTAACCAGTCCCTCATCAAATCCTCCACTGTCACAATGAGTGTGCTTTCCCCTCTAGTCAAGTGGGGACCATCACCCAGGCACTTGACTTATTGACACTAAAGGGAGCAGTGCATGAAATGGGCATCACCACTTACAGATAAACCAAAACTAGGTGCTGTCCCTGCACCTCAGGGAGAGCAGCTCAAGCCCCTGGGTCTCAGTAGTTTGCATTTACTGCAGCAAGTTAACCCAGAAAAACCACCATAAAGTTTGAGCTGAGCTGGGCACTTGCTCTGATGCTTTTATGTAGTAACATTACAGACAGACTGGGGCATTCTGTGTGCATGTGCATGTGTGTCCACTATTAATGAAAATCTCTTGTGCCCTGGCTGGCATAGCTCAGTGGATTGAGCGTGGGCTGTGAACCAAAGCATCGCAGGTTCGATTCCCAGTCAGGACACATGCCTATGTTGCAGGCCATGGCCCCCAGGCAACCGCACATTGATGTCTCTCTCTCTCTCTCTCTCTCTCTCTCTCTCTCTCTCTCTCTCTCTCTCTCTCTCTCTCTCTCTCTCTCTCTCTCCCTCCCTTCCCTCTCTAAAAATAAATAAATAAAATCTTATAAAGAATAAAAAATGGATTATTTTTAAAAACAAAGAAAAAATCTCTTGTACGCAGGTGTCCAATATGAGGTGCAGTTGGTGGAGTCTGGTGGGTGCCTGAGGCAGCCTGGAGGGTCTCTGAGACTCTCCTGCAAAGGTTCTGGATTCTCATTCAGTGACTCCTATATAAACTGGATCCTCCAGGCTCCATGAAAGGGACTGGAGTGGATAGGTTTTATTAGAAACAAAGCTAAAAATCACACAACAGAATATGCTGTGTCTGTAAAAGGCAGATTCAACATCTCAGGAGATTATTCTAAAAGCAGTGTCTATCTGCAAATGAAAAGCCTGAGAGCCTAGGACTCTGCACTGTTATTACTGTGAGAAAGGCAGAGAGAGGGAAGTCAGTGTGAACTCAGGAAAAAAAAACCTCCCTGCAGGAGGGTTGTAAACACCAGGGGGCGCTCAGGGCCCACAGGTTCTGCAGACACAAAACACAAGGAGGTTAATTAAGGTTTTGCTTCATCTCTGGCAGGGAGCTTCCTCTTCAACTGACATTCAACATGTAGGTGCCTAAGAAAGCATTCACCACAATGAGTCTAAAGTGGTTGGTTCACCTCTATCTACATGCATTGGGCAGATGCATATTATCTCTTACTTGGAACTCTTCCCTTAAATAGCTCTGTTGTGACTGTTGGTTTTGTGTTAGTTTGACTAGATCACAAAGTGCCCAAACATTTGGCTGATAGTTATACATGGGTTTGTCCAAGTGTGTTTACAGGTGAACTTACCTTTGAGATGGTGGCTCAGAAAAGCAGACTGTTTGCCCCAGTGAGAACAGACACCCTTCATTCCACTAAGGTACTGGCTGAAACAAACTGAAGAGGGAAAATTAACCCCTTCCCCCCTGTGTGCTGGATTCTAGAGCTGGGACAGAGGTCTTCTTCTTCCCTGGGCACCCTGGTTGTCAGCCCTATAGACCAGGCTGAGTGACAGGAACAGCTCTCCTGTGTCTTCTGACTGAAATCAGAGCTCATGGCCTTTGGGGAATCTCACAGTCTGTACTATGAGCATCAATTCCATATAAATGTAAAGTTCAATATCGTTCAGTGAACAAACAGGAGGATCATGTTAATTAATGTCACATCAATTTGCAAAGGTGTTATGTAACAGGGAGCAGTCCCTGCTCCCTAGACCTGTGAGGCCCATTGAAAATTCCAGAGCCTCATGAAGACTCAGGAAAGTTCACTGAGGATGGACAGAGCAGAACCGCATGGCATCAGAGCTCACTGAGACAGCCTCAGCAGACAAAGCTGACGACACACCACAGGATTCAGGTTCTCAGTGATCGATCTTGCAAATGAATGTTCTCCATCTTGATCTTGCATAATAACCAACTTCACCTTATTTTCTTGTGGAAAAGCTCATGATGAACATTTACTGAAATAATAGAGATTTATTCAATTCATAAGATTACTGTGGACATATTCTTAGCAAGAATGCTTGCCTGATGCAGGTTCCAGTTGATACTGTATTATGATAACAAGACCCACATAGGGGAGAGATGTGCAGTGACTTAAAACATGTGTTGTCACACTCAACTGACACATGCTTGTTAATCCAACACAGATCTGTGGTCCCAAAACAATGGGAACTCTGTCAGTGTTTCCTCCAAAGGAGCCACCTGTGACATTCCCCAGACAGTGAGCACTGAAGCAGATGCTCTTGCCTGTCCCCAGAACTAAGTGAGAACTCAGTGCCTAATGGGCTGCTGGATTTGGAGGACATGGAGCCCACATGGGGAACATCACCACTGCTCCTCCATGTCTGACCCTAGAGAATATCTCCTTTGAAAGGCAGTCTGAGTAATGACCAATGGTGTCTGAATTATCATC